CTCGCGCTTTCATCAGTCTCATCACCAGATAATCAAGTTACTGCATTGGTTTCCCTCTCATTGATAGACCTGGGGGAATTTGTGATTTTCTAACTGGATCCTAACGAACAGTATCCTTTTGCATTTACTTTCATCCTCCTAATTCCTAATGCAGACCTTGATCATTGTCTTGCCAATGGGTTTCAGTCCCGGGCAAGTTCACTATGGATTCAGTGTGACCAAAGAAAGTGACAGCAAAACGTTCTTGGGGTGAAAGGGTTATACCCAACTTTATTTCCAGATAGCAGGTCAGTCACTAAAATCCCATTCTCTCAGAGTGAATCTGCATGCAGCAAGCCAGTCTCTGCCTCTGGGCCCCTCTGTCCTCACAGCTGTCCTCTGGGCCCCTCTGTCTGCACAGCCGTCCCACATAGCCATCCTACGGGTCTCTCTGCACAGTCGTCCTGCACAGCCATCCTCTGGGCCTCTCTGCACAGTCGTCCTGCATAGCCGTCCTCTGGGCCTCTGTCCTTGGCGCTGCCACCACTCCAGCCTCTGCTCTGCTCTCCTGCAGCCTTGCAGCCCTGCCACTATGTCACACCCAGAGCACTAGGCAGAGCTCTTTTAGAGTCAACAGCCATGTATTGCCCACAGGTGTGCAGTGAGCTAGTCAACCAGGGCCAGGTGAGAATCCTGGCCACAGGAACTCTCATTTTATCCACAGTCATCCTATTACAGTGATGCATCTGGAACACAAACACGATCCTGCCACTGCCATGCTTAAATCCCTTCCACAATTCTAAGTACATTCAAGAAAAATTCTAGATCTGTGCTGTCCATTAGGGTGTCCATGGCTGTTGAGCACTTGAAATGTTGCGATTCAGAATGAAGATGTGCCATAAGTGAAAAATACTCGGCAGATTTTGAATACTTAGTGCCAAAAAAAACATTTGCAAAATACATCATCAGTTACTTTTAATACCAATCACATATAAATAATTACATTTAGACATTGGGTTTCTTGGGTTTCAAAAAATATATTATTAAAATTAATCTTACCTGTTTCTTCAGATACTACCAAATTAAAAAATACATATGTGTCTCATGTTTGATGTCTTTTGAGCAGCACAGCTCTAGACTACTGGAAAAAGCACATAAGCCCAGAGGCTCTCACCCTGCTTTTCACTTTAGGCTCTAGGAACTGCAGTCATTGTGGACTAGTGCTAATGCTCAAGCCCCCACCCAGATCCATTAGTGTCACACTGTAACTACTAGGGTCATGCTCCCCCTCATCCGCAGCCTCACCCAGCAGGAGGAGGGAAGGAACACTGACAAGGATCCCGGCTGGGGTACTGGTGTGGAGGGGGAAACTTTCCAGGAGAGGTTTGAAAATGTTGGACATTAAAAATTCTTGCTCCCTCCTGAAGGATCTTTCCGAGTCCTTCCCTCAGCCCAAGTCTTCCGTTGAGTGTTTGCTGATGCTCTTAGTCAGTCAATCACCGGGGGCTGTTGGAGTTTGAGAAGCCAGATGCTCCCTTCCCTTCTCTCCACTTAAAGCAGGGCTGGAGACTTAAGTGTCTGGTCCTGCACAGCTCATCAGCCACAAACACCTGCTGTAGCCCCACCACAAATAAGATAGCCTTACCCAGAGGATGCCTCTGTCACTGTGGCTCTTGCTTGGGAGCAGCAGTGGGGGGAAGATGGGATTCGAGCTTTCAGAGAGGCTGATCCTGGTGATGCAGAGGCACAGCTAATGCATGCTCAGCTCTGTCTTGGCTCTGGGCCTTTGTTCATGTGCCCTCTGCCCCCTCTCTTACTCTTCCTTCTCCCTGCTGCTTCTACTTGTTCTAAAAGATACATTTCAGCTATACTTCTGGGAATGTTTTCCTGACCCCTGCATAAAATGCCAATGTTGGATTTATCACATATCTTTTTCACTGATCTGTTAATATGTCTCTTCCTCTCATTAGATTGCAGGCATCTTAATAGTATTGGCTGTATTTTGTTCATCTTTGACTCCAGTGCCTGGCCATAGCAGGTGATCAATTAATATTAAGTGAATAAAAAGATAGATCGATGGAAGGATGGGTGGGTGAATGTGTGACAGATGCTTTTCTGGGGTTCCCTACAGCACTTGACACAATGCCTTACACACATTTTTGGATCAATAAGTAATGCCATTCGATAGACTGAAAGTTGGGTGCCAAGATACGCTCATTAAACTAAGCTACAGAACCAAAATAAAAACCAGATTACTGATTTTGCTGCCAGTACTTTTATATGTAAAGTATATCCCCAGGCTTGGATTCAATTTGGGGCCACTTTAGAGGTAGACAAAGACAAATATGGAAGAGGCAGATTGGTAGAATGAGTAGCTGCCAGGGTTCCAGCAGGACAAACAGCTTATCAGCCAAAAGCTCTCTCTCTCTCATAAGTCAATTTGTGTATTTCTCATTAAGGATTAAATTCATTACTATCATTTTAATCTTAAATTTAATTCTAATGTACTTGAAGGTCTATAACTTGAGAATAGAAAATCTGAGAACAGAAAACCTGAGTCACTGTTAACATCTGACAATTATTTGTCAGGTTTTCCTGAGCAAGAAGTCATTTTTCTTTCTGAGTCTACTCGTTTATCTGAAAAATGGGAGAAATCATATTCATTCTGTCTGCTTTTCTAGGTCATGGTGAGAATTGAATTGGGTTAGGTATGTCAAGAACTTTGAGGACTATTATACAAATATTGTTATACAAATGTTGGGTATTATATCTTACAGTATTTCTTAATTCCTCATGGGATTTGAAAGGAAATAATATAATTTCATAGAAACATATACAAATTCAGCTATATCTTATCTCAGATTACCTGTCCAAATAGTTCTTTAGCCCATAATAACTTTAGGTGCATTTTTATGAATGAAATTTTGAAATACTTTAATTATAAACAAATCTCTGTACATAGAACACAAATTTTCTTTTTGTCATGTTTTCTCAATTGAATTCTGACTATGTCTTTTACTTTTGTCTTGTTTTGTTCTAAAAATAAAACACTGGTCCATAGTGAAGATGAAGATGGAATAAGAAATACTTTTGCTGACATCCAAACATGTACATGTGTATGTGAGTACATGTGTATGCAAACTGGTCATTACTTTATTGAGAATTTCATTGGTCTACTTTATTTGTTTATATTTGTTCTCATCTTTTTCCATTGCTCTTACGTTTATTTAATCAAAAATTTAAAATATTTTTTAAATTATAACTTGTAGACTGAATAATGGTCCCTAAAGAGATCATGTCCTAATCCCTGAAACCTATTGTTTATATAGAAAAAGGATACCTGCAGGTATAATTAAATTAAGGATTTTGAGATAGGGAAATTCTCCTGGATTTTCCAGGAGGACCCTAAATGCAATCACAAGCACCCTTATGGAAGAGAGACAGAGGTGGATTTGACATGCAGAGGAGGAAGATAGTGCGACCACAGAGACACAGATTATAGTGATGTGGATATAAACCAAGGACTGCTGGTCACCACTAGATGCTGGAAGCAGTAAGGAAGAACTTCTAGAGGGAATTGTATGCAGACATTCTGGTTGTGGCCCAGTGAAACTGATTTTGGATATCAAGCTTCCAGAATTATGAGGGAATAAACTTTTGTTCTTTGAAGCCACCAAGTTTGTGGCAAGTTATTACAATGGCATTAGAAACTAAAACTAACTTTTTATGTGATTCAGGAGGAAGGACACTTAGTTACACAAACTAGTTATAGATCACTGATTCTTAGCCTCTTCTTTAAGATTTAATAACAATGTGTTAATTGAACCTCTGAAGTGCTTGGAATGGTGTAAGTACAATAAGGAACATCAAAGAAATAAGAGACACTGCCTCTCCCCTGAAGGAGCTTGTCATCTAGTTGAAGAATCAAGACCAACAGGTGTAAAACCTTTAGCACATAATTCAAGGCAGTGGCTAACTGAAGGGAGAAACTGCTCGCACACTGTGCCAGGTGATGTGAAGGAAATGAGCAAAGGTGGGGGCAGGGATGAACAAGGTGAGTCATGAGTGGGGAGTCTGCACATGGGTAGAAAGCTCGTGTGGGAGAAAGTGGGAATAAATTCAGTAGTTAGGAAGGGTTTCTGTGAAGGAAACGTCAAGCTGCAGAGAATGAGCTTAATATTGAACGACGCAGGAAGCCTGTGGCTGGTTGGGGCGGAGCTAAGTGATGAGAGCCAGGTCCAAGGAAGGCCCGTGTCCCTGATGCGGAGAGTTGCACGCTCTGGCTTGCCTGTCAGCTTCCTTTATCTTCGCAGGTGCAGTATGACACTACATTTTAGAATAATGATTTTTTAATATTTTTTCCTGAGAAATGTTTGGGACAGCCCTGAGAAATGCTGCTTGGGGTAATTAGGAACACCTGGGATGTCAGAAACAGGAGCTATGAATCTTTCAGTGTTCCCAATTAGGTAGAATGGATATATCCCAGATACATCAGTTGTATGACAGGAAGCCCATTTTCCTACTGAATTTGCCTCTCAAGTGGTTTCTGGACACCCTGGGGGAAAGTGTAATCTATTGTCTCCTGGCTTTCTGTAGTTTCACAAACCCTCCAGTCCAACCTGCATCTGGCTTTTCCAGGCCGCTCTGGGTCCCCTGCACCTATTCCTCTGGGCAGGGACTCTGCTCCCTTCAGGCTAGCAGCCTAGCAAAGACCAGGCTGTGGTGGGGATCAAGACATCCATCAGAAAGAGCAATAAGCACTGCTGTTTGATAGGTATTATCAAGGTTCACGTGCACAGACCAGTGCCAGAGCAAGGGCTGTCAGAGGAAGCTGCCATCAGGCTCGACACAGAGAACCAGACCAGCCCCAGATAGGGCATATTCAGCAGCTTCCCACCTTGGAGTTGTCTCGGGAAGAGAATTCCTTGCCTACTCCATCCTGACCAACTCACTCCCATTCCAGGAATCCTTTATCTTCGCAGGTGCAGTATGACACTACATTTTAGAATAATGATTTTTTAATATTTTTTCCTGAGAAATGTTTGGGACAGCCCTGAGAAATGCTGCTTGGGGTAATTAGGAACACCTGGGATGTCAGAAACAGGAGCTATGAATCTTTCAGTGTTCCCAATTAGGTAGAATGGATATATCCCAGATACATCAGTTGTATGACAGGAAGCCCATTTTCCTACTGAATTTGCCTCTCAAGTGGTTTCTGGACACCCTGGGGGAAAGTGTAATCTATTGTCTCCTGGCTTTCTGTAGTTTCACAAACCCTCCAGTCCAACCTGCATCTGGCTTTTCCAGGCCGCTCTGGGTCCCCTGCACCTATTCCTCTGGGCAGGGACTCTGCTCCCTTCAGGCTAGCAGCCTAGCAAAGACCAGGCTGTGGTGGGGATCAAGACATCCATCAGAAAGAGCAATAAGCACTGCTGTTTGATAGGTATTATCAAGGTTCACGTGCACAGACCAGTGCCAGAGCAAGGGCTGTCAGAGGAAGCTGCCATCAGGCTCGACACAGAGAACCAGACCAGCCCCAGATAGGGCATATTCAGCAGCTTCCCACCTTGGAGTTGTCTCGGGAAGAGAATTCCTTGCCTACTCCATCCTGACCAACTCACTCCCATTCCAGGACGGCTGACAGTGAGAATATCCATTTCTTTCAGGAAGGCTTACTCCATACACATGGCTAGGCTTCCTTCATAGAACAGAAAAGGCACTGAAATGGTTGGCTACATGTTCTATGGTCCTAAATATCACCGCATGTAGGACACCAGTTAGCAAACTCAGGGAGTCCTGGTCCCTGCCCAGCCCATACCATCTCAGGGTCTTCCTCAGCATCCAGTTTAAAGCAGAGGGAAGATCAGGCAGCTTCTCCTTCGGTGTCTCGGGCTCACAACCTCCTGTGGGTACATATTTGGACATGAAGATGCACAAATAGCTTCAAGAAACAAGAGTCTTCAAGGACAGTCCAATTGCCACTGAAAATACACAGAACACAACATCTCAAGTTGCAATTCCTTCAGGGTAATGATAATTTCACATCTTCCCCCAAATAATATGTGGATTTTTGTTCTATGTAATGGTTAATGATATGTGTCAACCTGGCTGGGCTAAGGGATGCTCAGATAGCTGGTAAACATTTCTGGGTATGTCAAGGGTATCTCTGGGAGCCCAGCATTGAAGTGGTGGACTGAGTAAAGCAGGTGGTCCTCTCAAGGGCAGGTGGGCATCATCCAACCCAGTGAGGGCCTGAACAGTGAAAATGCAGAGAAAGGGAAAATTCACTCCCTCTGTTTGAGTTCAGGCACCTATCTTCTCCTGCCCTCAGACATCAGCCAGCCTTCTTGGGCTTTTGGACTCCAGCCTGGACAAGCACCACTGGCACCCTTTGAGCTCAGCCTAAATTATACCACTGGTTTTACAGTTTTTTCCAGCCTGCAGAAAACAGATTGACTGTGAAACTTCTTGGCTCCTGTAACCTTATAAGTCGATTCCTGTAGTAAATTTTCTCGTATATAATATAATAGCTGTCTTATTGGCTCTGTTTCTCTGGAGAACCCTAACTAATATATTCCATATTTGTAATAAATAAATGGCCCATCCTGCTAATTATTTTCTGTGAGAGGAAATGTGTTACAGAGAAAGATAATTGCTAGCAACTTTAATTAGTGTTCCTCCAGCTTTCAAGAATGAATTAAAACCCTATCTCCACCATACTCCATTACATATTTATTGAACTCTAATGTAATTCAACAGACGTTGATTCATTCATTCAACAAATTCATTCATTCATTCGTTCAACAAATGTTTGTAAGGGCCCATTTAAGTGCCTACACCACACTAATCTAGACCCTGTGCAGGCAGCAGTGAATAAGGCAAAACCCCTGCTCCCAGGGTGTCTGGCGTTTCCCTTTGGTGAGGGGAGCTGTGAATAAACAAACTGGAATGTATCATCTGATGCTAAAAAGAAAAAGTAGAGTAAAGGGATAAAGAATGACAGTAGGGAGATATTTTCAGAATGGTAAAAACAGAAGACTTTTCTGATAAGAATATATTTGAGCAGAGTCCTGACTCAAGGGAAGGGGTAAGATGGAGACTGCTAATAACACCCCAGCATCCTTAACCTCTTGCTGCCTTTAACAATAGAACCTTCAGAGCTTTTGTTAAACAAGTCAATGATGTTCCTTGCATTTCCAGCTTTCCTTGCAAATACATGTGGTGTGGTCTATGTTTGGGCTAAATGCATGTGAGCAGAAGTGATGTGTAGAAATTCTGTGTCATCTCCTTAAAGATACTTGCCTTTTTCCTGCTAACTGGGAGATGATAACCACTGGAACAATCCGGAAAACATATTGAGATGGCAGAGCGCCATCTCTGCACTTTTATGCAAGAGAAAAATAAAATTCTATTCTGTATTAAATAACTGTATTTTGTTATAGTGGCTTAGCTTGTTGCTCAGCTAATTCAAAGAACAAGCTGTGTGGCTATCTAGAGGGGCGCCTTTCTAAGTAGAGAAAATAGGGCCTGCAAAGGCTATCAAGTAGGAGCTTACTAGGAGTGTCAGAAGGCAAAGCATTTAACACCTTGGAACCTCCAGCAGGCCTCAGGGTTTTGTTGTTGGAAGCTGTGGATGTACTTTTGGAGCAAAGGAATGACATTATGTGATGTCTGTTTTAGAAAGATCATCCTGGCTTTCATGTTGAAATTAGAACAAGCAGGCAAGTGTGGAAATGCAGACAGACTAGTTGGGAGGTTATCACGGTGGTCCCAGGAAAAGATTATGGTAGCTTAGACTAGGGCACTAGTGGTGGATGGGCTTCCAGTGTATTTCTAAAGTAGAGATGCATGGATGTGCTCAAAGATTGTAAATGAGAGAAAAATAGAAGTAAGGGTGGGGTTCAGAAGGAAAGGGAATTGATGTGGGGATTAGAAATTGTATGTGGAGATCTGGGGGTATGGTTGGAAGTGGGAATTATATTTTCTTTGCTCAGGAGCTTCATATGACTACCTTCTCTTTGCATAATTGTAATTAATTTTATCTTTGCCTCCACCAATCAGACTCTACAGAATGAACTCTGCCCTTTCTCTCTCCTCTATTCAGTCTTCCACCATATGTTATTTTTCTTTATTCTAAGCATTACTTTGTACATTCGTTCATTTGGGGAGATGTTCAGTGTCAGCAAAAGATAGTGATCTCAGAGTGACATACCTCGATTATCTTCTCTCTCAAAAGCACTTAAGGAAAGGGAAAATGAGAACAGTGATATGATATGGAATTGATGTTGAAGATATGTATTGTAATTGGAGAAAGGAGGACAGGTTGAAATGCTGGTGAAGGTCAGGAGGGAGGAGAAATACCGAGTCTGGGACTGTGCGGAGAAGTGAACATCCAGCAGTGGAAGACGAATAGCAGGTACTAATAGTATCCATGACTGTGAGGTGAACCAGAGGCGAGAGGGAAAATGATGACTCTCTATCTGGGGCAGAGCAAACAAAAGACTGACCTCATTTCTCTTTCATTCTTAAGTGGTACACTCTTCAGGTGCCATGTAAATTGCTAGGATCAAGTAATCTTGAGGAAGTATTCCTAAGAAAATAGTTGTACTTTTCAAGAGCTGATTATAATTTTGATTTGGGCTCAGTTGTTCTTACAGGAAAACATGTAATTGTTACTATGATCTTCTAAGGTTTGCACAAATGACTTGATGTAGGAAGACCTTTTTCATTTCCAAGGGAAAATTATCCATGGCAGTTTCAAACCATCTCGGGTCATCCAAAGCCAAACTCCAGGGATAGCTTTTTTTTTTTTTTTCATTTTCTAAGAGGATATTTCCAGAATGGACAGTCATTAAAACTGTCTCCTGAATCATTTTATTATTATTATTGTAATATAGTTAGTTATACAATATTGAATTGGTTTAATGATTCAATAATTATTTACATTACTAAGTGTTCACCATGGTTAAGTGTAGTTACCAATAATATTGTAATATCATGGTGTGGTAGCAGGGAATAACTACACTTACTGTGAGAAATATGTTTTAAACCAGGGGAATAACAGGTTGAAAGATGTTTATACAAGGGGTACTTTCTTAATCATGAACTCTGATCACAATTTATAGCTAATAATCAATTTAACATGAAAATTACTGTGACTAGAATCTAAGCATTGTTCACATATAAATTTCTGTTTGAACAGGCTTCTAGACTACACAGGAAATATGATCAAATGCATGTATTTTATAAATTCAAAAGCCATGGCAAACTTAAGTCTGCTTCTGTTTTTAATTGTGCATTTAAAAAAGTCAGGAATACCAAGGCCAAAGTGGTCACATCAACATCTAGATACCTCTGAGGCTGACTTCATGTTATTGTCATATTTAAATTCTTCTCCACTATCATCATCTTCATCACCATCCACCATCAGTAAAGATTTATAAGATGTCTGTAAGATTTGAGGCACTAGACTAGAAAAAGGGAAATCAAACGACTATAAGACATGGTTACTTCTTTCAAAGAGCTTAGGATCTAGTTGGAAAGAGGAGATACAAATTAACAGATAAATATATAAATACTTGGTATGTACAAGTCAGGAACAGTTAGCTTATGCTGCATAAATGAATCACCCCCACATTTTGGAAGATTATAACAACAAAGGTTATTTCTCACTCCTTCATGGCATGGGAGCTTTACTTACTGTAGTCATTCAAGAGCCCAGGTTACTGATGTTGCCATACTGATGCTTACTTTTACAATCATTGAGGCAGGAGAAAAAGGAAAGATCATTAATCACCCAATGGTTCTTAGAGCTTCCTCCTAGATGTTACACTTGTCACTTCTGCTCATATATTATTTTTCTAAAGCAAATGAATGTCCACACCAACTTAAAGGGAATGGGAAAGTGTGATCTACCATATGCTGGGAGGAGAACTATAAATATTTAGTGGACAACACAAATGCCCACCACAAGCTGCATATATTAAGAGTCAAATAAATTATATAGGTGAAGTCCACATCATGTCGAAGTTCAGAGAAGGGAGTGAGCAATAAAATCTAGGATATTAATAAATTAATTCACTCATTCAGTCATCTTTTATTCAATGTACATTTAAAGAGCACTTCCTACCACTGAGCACTCTTCTTTTAAGTAATGGTCATATAATACTAAATAATACTGATAAAAATTCCCTGCCCTCCTGAAGATTATTTTCTAGTAGGGGAAGATCTGAGCTAGGTCTTGAAGGATGAGTAGAATTTAGACAATTATATAAGGGAGAGCATTCTCAGCATAGAGAATGGAGTTTGTTCACATGAAACCAGAAAAGTATATGGAATAAAAGAATGGAAAAATCGCTTCATAGATATAACTTATTCAACCTCTGTGTAATTAAAGGATGTTTATAAAAAACATTTACATAATTTAAAAAATAATTGTTTGGATAATATGAATTAATATGGATGTTTTAAGTTAATAATTAAAATTAATTAAATGGAATCTCATTTTTAGTTACTCTATATTCTTATTCAACTATATTACATGTGAAATGCAATGACTTAGATATGTTTCACTGTAATTTTCTTTTTAACATGTCTTATTTCTTGAAATATTTTGATAGTGGGATAATTTGAGTAAAGATTATTATAAATAAACAATTATGATCCTCCCCACATTTCTAAGGACTTAGTTATCCCTTAAAGACTCTCAAAAACATTAAAACTTTTTAGTTTTTTGCATACCTACAGAATTTGTCATGACACTTGAAAATAAATTTACTGGGATTCTGAAGGAGGGGAAATTAAAAAAAAACATAATATTTTCATGTAAATAAAATCATGAAAACAAAATCAGATACTCATATTGAGATCTTTAATTCATTTTTTATCTAATAGCTGCTGATGGGGCCCTCACTAAATTCTAGATTTAGATAGCTGAAAAACTTTGTTGCTAAAAATACCATCGGACTACAAATTACTGAGGACAAAGAGATGATATCACTTGCATTGGACAATATTCATCTGAGGGGAGGGGAATGGCAAGATCTTCACTTGCAGATATTTTCAGATGAGGAAAATTCACAGATGAGAGACTTGACAATGTGGGTGAATGTAGTAACCACATTGTTTTTAATGTGAAACCTTCATAAGAGTGTGTATCAATGATACCTTAATTTAAGAAAAAAAGAAAGTTTGAGGCAGCAACATTGGAAATAGAAAGATAAAGAGGAGATGATGGACTGGAGAGATATTTTGGAGAGAAAATCAAATGCAATTAGTGATTAAACTAAGTAAAAAGGAGGGTTTCAAGCCAGGTTTCTGGCCTAATTGTTCATGCACTAATAATGATTATTGTTTTAATAAATTACAATTTTTCCTTTAAAAAAGTTTGGTATGCTTACATTCATGCATTCAGAAATAAACATAATTTGAATACAGAAAAAAAAGAAAATTAACAGATGATTTATGAAAAACAAAACCAAAAACAAACTGATACTATCTCACACCCATTAGGATGGCTACTATAAAAACCCCCAGAAAATATTAAAAAATGTTGGAGAGGACATGGAGAAATTGAAGCTCTTGTGCACTATTGGTGGGAATGTAAAATGATGTAGCCATTATGGAAAACAGTATGCTGATTTCTCAAAATATTAAAAATGGAATTAACAAGTGATCCAACAATTTCCATTTTGGGGTATACCCCAAAAAATAGAACTCAAAATGGGGCTTAAAAACTATTCATATACCTATGTTCATGACATCAACATTCACAATAGCCAAGTGACAGAAACAACTCAAGTGACCATCTACAGATGAATGGATAAACAAATATGTGGTGCATATAAATATATACACACACACACACACTATGTGTGTAATATATATATGTATGTAATTTATATGTGTAAATAATATACACATATATGTATGTATATACAGAGATGTGTATACACATATATGTACACACACACACACACACTGGACTATTATTCAGCCTTAAAAGGGAGGAAATTCTGACATATGCTAAAACATGGATGGACCTTGAGGACATTATATTAAGTGAAATAAGGCAGTCACAAAAAAGACAAGTACTATGATTCCACTTATATCAGGTACCTGGAGTAGTTAAATTCATAGAAACAGAAAGTGGAAGGGTGGTGGCCAAGGCCTGGAGGGAGGAAGGAAAGAAGAGTTTATTGTTCGATGGCCACAGAGTTTTTCAGTTTTGAAAGATGAAAAGAATTCTGTAGATGGATGATAGTCATCACTGCACAACGATGCCAATGTACTTAACGCTATTGCACTGTACACTTAAAAATGGTCAAGACGGTAAATTTTATAAGTGTAATTTACTGCAATTGAAAGTAATTTAAAAATATAAATAATGACTAAAAGAAAATTTAAAATTCTCTGGCTTAGTAAAATCAGCAGCCATTTTTTTTTCTTCAGTTTGTATTTTGTATTTGTATTCAGTTTCTCATTTTGTATTTTGCTCAGAGAGTAATTCTCTGGTGTGATGCTTACACATCCCCCACTGTCCAAACCTTGATGGCTCTGCCTGCTGCTACATTCCAAGAGTTCCTAACCTAATTAACATTTCAATCTAATAAGATTTTTCTGGCTCCTAAAGTGTGATCTATCAATTGTTGACATATCTTGGGATATGGCCAGGCATAACCCAGTTACCCACTGTGGGACAGGCAGCCTGGGAGGGCTGGGGGAAGTAAACATCAGGGAACAGATGCCAAGAAAATGCAGTCAGCAGACTAGGTAGCAGGGCAGGGCTACTCTGCAGGTCAGGAAGGAGCTTGCGATGGTCCATCATCATAAGGTTACAGGGGGCCCCAACATGGAGTTCTGGCAGGTGCTTACGTACTGGATCCAACAAGAACTCGGCATCATCTAAGCAGAAGATATCGGGGAAGGTTGTTAGCAGTGCATGGTTTGGATTGTTCCTAGAAGGGAGACTGACAAGAACATGGCAGAGTCTCAAGCCTCAAGTGGCTAGAGAATTCACTAGGTTTAAAATTCTCAGCAGTCAGAATCCTCGTTATCCGATATTACTGCAGAGATGATCCAGAAAGGGTGACTGAGCCTAACTTCTAAAGTGTGGGGCTAAATTTTATATATCTCTTGCATAAAGTCAGTATAGGCTACAGGCCCAAAAGGGCATGGCTTAGGGCCATAAGGACTAGACAACTTGTCAGTGATGACTCACAATAAAGTTGAATTATTCATTATAGAGACTTTGAGATTTTGGGATTGTTAGTATTCTAAGTGGTTTCTCAAACATAAGGACACTACGAGTAAAGAACCTAGCATCCTGAAGATCACAAAAAAAAATGTCAGAATTTATAAACCCGTAACACAAAGAACATTTTGAGGTAGAAGCACACTACACTCTGTGTCTGGGCTAGAAGAAGAAGTCTTGGCAAAATGTCATTCCAAATATTTATCTGGTATAATCTACAAATGATTCTAGCTGGCCTCCTAGAGAGAAGGGTCTAGGCTGACCCTAGTGAGCAGTCACAGCTTCCTTACAGCAGACCTGGAAACCAGAAGTCATGGAGTCTTTCTTACAATATATCACTCTTACTCTAACTCTCCTGCCTCCCTCTTTCAATTATAAGGACCCTTAAGATTACCTTAGTCATAACAGATAGTCTAGGATATTCTTCCCATTACAAAAATCAGCTGATCAACCTCACAACATAACAGCATATTCACAGGTTTCAGGGACTAAGACATGGACATCTTTGGTGGAGGCATTACTCTGCCTCTTCTACCACAAGATCTTTCCTTCCTATTTTTTTCATGGGAAGAGGAAGGTAGGCAGAAAACAGTGGGGCAGGATGAGTAGGGGACCAAGGAAACCCCGAAGCATCAGAGCAAGTATCCCTGTTTCCTGAACCCCAAGATGGCTCCACAATATTCTGGAAAGACCTGGTGTCCTCTGTCCTCTGTCCTTGTCTCTTAGTTCACCCCCAGAGAATTTAAATTTCATCTGTTTGGGGAAAAATGGATCTCTTATTATATACAGATGGTATGTGTTTCAGAAAATGAGAGAAAGGGCCTCTTCTCCAGGGCCAGTGGACAGTGCTTCTGAAGAAGTGGTTTTCAAAGTATAAGCTTCCATCCTCCTTTAATGACAGTGAGGAGTCCTGAGGTCAGTTTAGTGAGTGAAGGTCAGTGAGAGAGAGAGAGAAGGAGGAGAAGGAGCAGGAGGAAAAGAAGAAAGGAAGGAGGGAGTGGAGAAGGAAGAGAGGGGGAGGGGAAAAATATTAAATAACATGGAATTGAAAATATCAGGGTACCTCACATGCTCTAAGGATAAAATTGTTTCAGTTATATCTGCACATCTGCAGTGGCTTATGGTGTGAGATGCATTTCACAGTGAAAATGTATGAGCTCTAGGAGGCTCCTGGGGCAGCTGCAGGTGTTTGCATGGAGAGGTCTCCCCTGCAGACAGGTCATCCCTCATCATTAGCAACAAAAGTGAATCTGCTTATTTGGGAAGAAACATTTTAAAGGACTTTAGGAGACTGAGGAGGCAAAAAAAAAAGACGAGAGTGTGGTGAAAGGAGACCAGAATAGAAGAGACAGATGGGAGTTCAAAGGGAAAAAGAGAAAGTGAAATGAAATTAAGAACATTAGTCCTGTTAGAGAATGAAAAAGGACAGACTCAGAGAAGAAATCAGCACGCAAGAGAAGCTCAGACTCAAGTGCTTTTCTGGGTGAAAGGACAAAGGAGAGAAATCCCCCAACCAAAATCCACGGCACCCTACAAACCTCCAGCAGCCCCCCACCATGCCTCTGTGGGCTCCTGTGACAGGAGCACGTGCACCACGCTAGACGTCTAGGCTTGCTGGTCTGGCCTTACAGTCTGCAGCTGTCTTGTTGGGGAGGCCCGAGCAGGAGGAAGTGAAAATGACTGGGAACCTGGTCTGAGTGATTAGCAGGGAGGTGGAAGGACAATGCTGCTATGGTGGGCCCCAGAGCTTCTGTGTAATGCTTACTGAGAACCTAATGTCCTTAACCCTGGCTATCAAACATCACCAACTTAGGATGCAACTGCTATTTACCACTATTAATATAGACCAGGTACCACTAATCCCATTACAGAGAAGAGAAAACTGGGTCTCAAAGGGGTGCAAGGAATTGCGTAGCATCAGTAAGTGTAAGGTCTGTGACTCCAGACACACTCTGTCTCTTTTTGCCACAACAGGGACTTCTTCAAGAACTAACTTTTCAAGGAGGCTGACCCATACCCATCACACATGGAGAATGTACTGGCTATTTATGACTGGCTTCCAAGCTTCTGACCAGGACCCCAACTCAGGTCCCTACTCTGAGGTTTGCACAAGTGGGTCTCCGGGAGTGGAGTGGGCAGGTTACATTTAGTAGAGGGTGGGACACCAAAGAACATGTCTTTCTTCTCCCACTGGGGTTCCAGAACAGGCATGGTATATGGCAGAAGGCAGCTTTCTCTTCCCAAGATTGAAATCAAGCTTAGGCTCTTTCTTCAAAAAATTGAAAGTTTAGAAAGAAAGAAAAATTGTTAGTTCCACTATTTATAAAATTTTATGAACACCTACCTGGTTAAATGTCACATTCACATGCATTTTATGTTCCCCTCACGTAAATACAGTCAGCTTTCCAGTCACCATTGTTCTTCCTGGTTTTCTTTTCTGTTTCTTTTTCTTGTTCTGACCTCAAGCACCAGGTCCTGACTAGATGCTCAGGCTAGACCCCAAGAAGATCCTAGCTGAGAGGGGCAATGCATCTGACATGAAAGTTCTGGAAAGCACAGCCTCTTCCAGTGGATGTCTGGGGGCTGAAATGCAGACTCGGCAGTCCCACTTATCTGTCTGGTGAAATGTCCTTAAATGGAGAATGCCCGAGAGGAGGGGTCTGGGTGGAGGCGCATGCCGATCTCCAGGGGGGCTGGGCAGCGAGGACTCTGCACACTGTCTCAGCTGTGGTCTTTCTCCCATGTGACAAGCTGGTCACAAGGTGACCTTCTTAAGAAAAGAAAATTTAATGCCATTAAATGTGGGCAAGACATTATTAATCTTGTTATACAGAAGAAGGAAGTGGGTCTTAGAGCAGTCCAGGAAACACAGAAGCATGAATATAAATTGCATCTCTGTATTTCATATTTTCTGAACTTTTTTTTATCACTTTTTTTTGGAGGGAGGCGTAGTACTCCAGGGACCATGTTTCTAAAAACACTCTTTAGGAACTCTGACCTAACCTAAATGTAAAGTCCTCAAGGTCTCTGGCAGCTGGCCTGGCTCTGCTGGAAGATGCCTGAGCACATGCTGTCTTCCATCATGAGTCCCTTTGCAGCACCGCTTTTCTAAACGACTGAACAAAGCAGTGGCCTTGGGCTGGTACTTCTCCAATACACGACAATAGAGAAAAGTAACTTCACCTTGGTGGTGGTCTCAGAGATTTGCTGTTCTGCTGCTGTTGGGTTAATCCTGGACATAAGGCAAAAGGCCAAGACCTTCCAGGACACGGACAAGAAGTGATACCTTCCGGAGAGAATGAACCGATGCCCTGTGGTGCAGCATGGCCTGAGAAGCAGTAAACTGCAGAAACCGCTTAGAGGACAGTTCCTTTCATTTTTCTGGCTTTTAAAATGCTACTCATTTCTGATGCATGTCACACAAGTCAGTGTGTGACAATTGTCAAGGATGAACTTGGGCTGTGCCTTAAAGCAAACACAGCTAACACACTTCTGGTTACATTCACAATGCCACTCTCCTCTGCTGCCACCTCACCACAGTTGGTTATCAAGAGTACATGCTGATACTCAAAGCTCATATTTAACATGTGTGTATGTATTTCTAGGTGTAATTTGGTTCAGTCCCAACACAAGCAAAATGAAATCTGAATTAAATGTAAGATGACTGGCCTAAAACTAGAGCATAAAGGATTTTAGCTCTGAAAACTTAAGAAGGACAGTTGCTAAACACTGAAATAGGTTATCAAGGGAAGTTATAGAATCTATTTCCCTCAAGGTTCTTAAAATAAGGCAATGTCTATTCTGTAGAAGAAGCTTTCAGGATCCTGACAGAAGGAATATAGTTTAGTTTAACTGTCAAGGTGTTCCAACAAAAATCACAGGTACTCTGCTCAAAATATCCATCGAAGACCCTTATACCCAGGCAATATTTTGATTCCTTAATGCCTTGCTTGCTGAGGCTATTTCTGTAAGGGGAATTAGAAATTCCCTTTCAGGTCAAACCAGCCAGGCATGATCTTACTGCCAACTCCACAGCAACTTCTTAACCACTGTGGTGATTACAGTCCATAAGATATTGTTCTTACAACTATAATAACAGTTATTAATGAACATTTTTGAGCACTCACTATATGCTAGCCATTGTGGTAGCTCTTTATACACATTACCTCATTTTCCTCTCATAACAGCATTTTAAGATAAGTATTATTATATCTATTTCATAGATATTTCAAGTGAGTCTTTGAGAGGCTAGGATCACACAGCAGGACTTAGACCCAGGGCCATTCTAAAGCCTGTGTTTTTATATTCCAGAAGGTTGTGGCTAACAGTTTTAAAAGCACATCAGCCCACAAATAATGTTGGCTCTTGAATGCAGCCTCAGCGGCAGCTCTGCCAATCCATGGGGCTCAGAAAACACTCGGTTCTCTCTTGGGCTTGCCTTCATTTCCACAGACACTCAGGGGTTTACAAAAAATGATGTATTTTTTCCATCATCCCTAAATTTTAAATAGGGTGAAAAGATCCTTCATGGCTGTGGACTATATAATATGTTTGGGTTCTCATTAGGAAAAGAAAAGTTCTGCTGCTAAACATGTGTCAAAATGTAGTACGTTCTTTTGAAAATTCTAAAAAAATTTTGACACATGTCCACTGAGGACTTGTCTTGAGGGGAAATAAAACACCGGAGGATTATTCAAAACCAAACCTGGTGAGTTGGAAGAATAATAAGTCCAGTTATAAGAAAAAACAAGGTGTGAATGATAAAATAATGATGTAGATTTTCGTAGGTGACACAATGACATATACACTGATGGTGTACACCTTGCATTTCCATCACAACCGACTGTGGCCCCAGCACTGGCATCCATCATGGAGTCTACACAGTGACCTAGAAATGACTCACCTAGTCAGTGACTGTCCAAGAAAGGGCTAAAATGATGACCTATAGGAAATGCATTCAGTTAACAGCTGTTGCACTTTGGAGCATGACAGATGGTGGAGGTAATGATGTTTCATGAAGTGTTTCCTGGCTCAGCAAGGTTGCCACAATGTGCGCCTCTGCTTTTTTCTCTGTCAAGGAGGAGGTGGGAGGAGAGACTCTTACTGGAGTCTATTACAGATTCATTTTCCTTAAATATGACATAGGTCAGCAATAAGCATGAGCTTCATAAATATTTTTTAGGCATATCATAAACGGGAAAAACCACTTAGCCTCATGTTGAAAAAACAGCACAATATTCTACTGATAAGAATTCTGAATTTATTATATTTAAAGTTTTTATTCTGTTTCTGGTAGAGTTTGACAGCTCAATGCAGCCAAAGTCAGGCCTATTTGCTGTCCCTGTGCTCCTTATAAGCCTTTATCAGATCTGAAGGGTCCCCATTGTTACCTATGGCTACATTCTCCTGCCAGCCTCCTACGTTCCCAAACTCGTCAAAACCTTTCCCCTCTATCATTTTAACCAGAGAAATCCCCAGAGCTGTGATTCCTTGCTCTCCAGGCTTCTGGAAGCCACATGCAGTCTCCGCTGCCTCAGGTGCAGGCGCTGTCCACCTAGGCTCTGTGCCTAGACAGGCGGAGCAGCTCTGCTTTCGCCTGCCTTGGCTCCTTCCTCAGGCAAACCATCCTGCCAGGCGGCAAGCGTTCTTCCCATCACTTGCCTAACAAAATTAAGCCAGGGTTTTCCAGCTCATATTCTATCAGCTTCTTATTCCCCTCGTTGTCCTGCATGCCTTTCCTGAGAACGCCTCCCGCCTCTGAGGCATGCACAGACTGTCCCCCTTAGCACTGTCTACCAGGTTTCGCGCGTCCTCCCCGCCCATCACTGTTCGAGATGGCCCTTTGTCCTGACGCTTTCCCTGAGTGTATGTGCTTGCCACGTTTTCATTCCCACAATGAACCTCACTATCCTTTTATCCCTTAGTCACTAAATTGTACAATACAACTAAAGGTCAAAATTAAAAATCCACATGCAGCTGTGTCTGTGTTTCTGTCTCTCCATAAACCACCCAGATTTCCTCTGTGTGAGAGCCCGTCTCTACTTTTGATGCCCCACCCAGGCCTAGAGCAGAGCCCCCTTGAAAGACAGGCTTCCATCAGTCCCGTCTCAGGCCAGGGTCTACTTTTGAAATTACACATTCTCCTTAAAAGGTTAAAGTGAGAAAGTCCTTCCCTGTGTTATGTAACCAAGCTTCTCTTACTGGTTTGAATCAACCTACTGAACAAGCTGATCTCCTTTGTAAAGCATTTTCTCCCTGAGGATGGCTTCTAAAAGCTGTGTTAAAAATAATTCTTTCTTTTTTCCAAATCTTACTTAAACATTATGCCGCTAAGAAGGATTTGAGATTTTCAGAACACGTTTTTGTCTGCACAGATAGACAAGATGTTAAACAATCAATCTTGAGTTAAGATGCTTATGAAGCTATTCAACTGTTTTATTTTTTAAGTACTGAATTAAGTAGATTTATATATATCAATTTATTTTACCTTCAAGATAATTATTTGATTTTACTATTTTCTTCTTGTAGACAATGGAACCAGCCAATGAGACAATGGAACTCAACGCAGTCAAGCTACATGTTCAAGGTGACCAAGCCGCACGTGCTAGAGTGGGGTTGGTGCTTCAGTTTCTTACCATCTGACTCTCACTCTGTCTGCTCTCAACCTGTTCTGTGCAGGGGCCTCTGGTTAGCACTGAACCTCATAAAGAAAAAGAGACAAAGGCCCACATGGCATGGTTGACCACAGTGTGGAGGTAAGCAGACCTCTGGGAAATGTGCCATGTTAATCAGATATTATATTCCCATATGCATTTGGAACTGTTTCTGGGCATTAACTCAGTTCCACTGTTTTGTCTGTTTATTTATAGGCTAGTACCACACTCTTAGTTATTGAAGCTTTATATTTCAGTATTTGATAAGGCTAGTCCCTCCCTCGTAACATTCCTCTCCCCCCTCCACCTTTGCCTGAGATTTTTTTCCTTGCTTTAGAATCAGTTTATCTGGTTCAAAACATCATTATGAAGGTTTTTTGAGTCCTCTGTCGAATTTCAAGATTAAATCACAGAGAGTTGACATCTTGATAGCATTTTGTGTCTTCCTGACACAGAACAGAGAGGTTTCTCCCATCTACACTTTTGTGTGTTTTATTTTTCCTAGTACTAGGATCTGCTGTGTTTTTACTAGAGCATAAAGGTGACTCTTTTGATCAATTTTAAATCAATCTCCCTCTCAGTTCATTCTCTCATTTTCTCTTTCTCTCTCTCACTCTTCTTTTTTTTTTCCTCTTTCACACAGCAAACATGGGCACACATAACAGTTTCTTCACTCACAGGGTCATCAAGGGCATTTGAAAGAAATCGAACAAAAAGGTCCAGGACCTTCTGTGACACAATAAGATGTTCTTTCTTCCTAGAAGAGCACTGTCATTGGCTGTCATGAGCTTCACAATGGAGGGACTATTATCCGCTTTGTTCCCTGCAGTTCTGCAAGTGCCTAGAGGAGTGCTCAGCCCACAGTGGCATTCAGTAAATATTCGCTGATGAATGAAAAATTCCCTAAATCTTGTTGGAAAAACTAGGCTCTTGGCTTATGTTTTCTGGCAGGTC